CCCCCCCAAAACCCCAAAACCCCATGAGCCGAATTATTAATGGTTATATAAGAATTTCAATATAATATAATGTTTAAGTTAGTTTAGAGAGTAAGGACTTTCAGGAATGTGCTGGTTACTTCCAGTGCCATTAGTTTTTTGTCTATTCATTAATTGTAAATTAATTTAATAATAAAACAAAAATGATTACTAGAAAAGGCGGTAATTACTTACATTGATTTTTTATGATGAGTACTTTAGCAAAAGCAAAAGCTTAACCAAAGGGAGAAGACACATATGGGAATCAATATTAAAGTATAGATGAGATGTGGAAAAGAGAATTAAAACCAGATCCAAAAGAGCTGGCGAGTGAGGAATTGAAAATAGAAGGAAGAGTTGGAGATCAAGAGTCTTGGTACAAGAAGCAAGTTGAATATTGGAATGTAAGTAGAATTTCATATTAAATAAATATAACTTTAGAATCAAGAAGCCTCTGTTGAAGGAGTATTAGGGGGCTATGGAAAAGTTCATCCAGTAGATTCAGATACATCTTGCAGCTTCCTGGATGGTTTCAAAGCTAAAATCGGACATGATAGAGCTCTTGACTGCGGAGCAGGAATAGGAAGAGTTACCAAGAGTGTTCTAATAGATCGTTTTGAAAAAGTAGATCTTGTTGAACCATCTCAAGTTTAACTTGATAAAGCAAGAGAGTATATTGGCTCAGATAAAGTAGAAAAGTAAGTATTTTATAATTTTTATCTGATGCAATTTGTGCATTTAAATCTTGTATTTTCAAGTTTCATTTTTACATTTCTTTCTCTGATCATTTATTTTATAGTTACTATTGCAAAGGCCTCTAAGAATTTTAATTCGATTACAAATATGATTGCATTTGGTTATAATGGGTTTTATGCTACTTAACTGATGATGATCTTGTTTAATTCCTCATTAAGTGTGGAGAAAATCTCACTGACGAAAATAGCATGGTTTTTGTGAAAGAAAATGTCCATGAGCATGGCTTTTATGTAGATAAAGATGACAATAGCGTAGTGAGATCAGACCTATTATTCTAAGACATTTTTGAAAGAGCGGGATTTACTGTTGTTAAGCATATTTATTAGCAAGGTTTCCCTAAAGAGCTCTTTAGAATCAGTCTGTACGCTCTTAAAAAAGCAAAGTAATGAAGTTCTGTAAGCTTTTATATTAGTTAAGCAGTTAAATTTAATTTCATGTTAATTATGAATATGAAAATCCAATATTTACAAAAGGGGTTTTGGGGTTTTGGGGTTTTGGGGTTTTGGGG